TCAGAAGACTAAGGGCCATGATGAATGTAGACAGTTTAGACACAATGAATTAGGTGATGTGTTAAATATAATTCATTGTGATTTGATATGATTAGATTTGATATCATATGATTAGATTTGATATCATATGATTAATTTGATATGATATAATTTGATATCATATGATTAGATTTGATAACATTTGATTAGATTTGATTTAGAATATTTTGGGCCTTTTATGTTTTGGGCTAGTGTAAACCTAAAACTATAAATAGGGTGCCTTGCTTTGTATTCTACATCACAACAGAACAGATTTCACAGTTGCAGTTAGCAAGTGAAAGTTCAATAAGAAATCCCACAGTTATGGTTAACACATTCTCTCCAAATACTTCTTCTCTCATTCTTCTCTTTCTTGTTTGTTATTCTTCTTCTCTTTTGTTGTTCTTGATAATTACTTGTTATTACCATCATTATCATATTGTGGGTTTGTTCATCAATCTTGAGATCAAGATTGAAGGGAATTCTTCATAGGGTGTGAGGTGAATTTCCAACATCTCTCTCTCTCTCTCTCTCTCTCTCTCTCTCTCTCTCTCTCTCTCTCTCTCTCTCTCTCTCTCTCTCTCTCTCTCTCTCTCTCTCTCTCTCTCTCTCTCTCTCTCTCTCTCTCTCTCTCTCTCTCTCTCTCTGTTTAATTAAAAAAACAGATACCACCTCTTCATGATGCATATGCGCCCCTCACTTTGTATTTTAATATCATCATTTTTATCTCTCGCTGGGGGATAATAAAAAGGATCCTTCATTTTTCATTACCCTTACATATATCATCTTCAACATCCTTCCTCAAACCACACAGAACATTGCTTCTACACACCCCATCAACACTCTCCACATTGTCTTGCGTCACCATCATAGATCTAAAACAACTACAAGAAACCTAGAGCAACCATAAAAGGCGTATATACACTCTTAGTATCTCTCTAAAATAATCTCTTTTTTTTGTTCAAATTAAAAGCCTGCAAATTGGATACTGAATTATATTAGCAGTACTCAACTCACATTTCATGTTAGCCATACTTATTACAAACTTTCTCCAACGATATAAGCCACCAACAATCATCTTCCTTATTCTCCATTCATATACCACATCTCCTTATTAAATCCTCTTTTCTCACTTTAAAAGCATAACACCTTGAAAAAGTAGAAGAAGCAAAAATGTAGTAGTGGAGGTTGTAGCAAAAAAAAATCATAAACATCATCACCTACGTATAACTTCCTCCATTTTACATCAAAATAACAAACACTAAATACACTTCACCATCATTCATACATTATACATGTTCCCTCTATTTTTGTTGTTACAAAAAATGCATGACAACTTTCACATTTCCACCCTCCATGAAGTGAACACAAAAAAACCTAAGAAAGCTACACCAAACTCACCCCAGCTACATGTTTATACAAACGGTAACGCTTTTCACCGACAACCGCAAAACTACCATCATCATTCCGTGTGAAGCAATTCAACACATCATCACATGAACCGTTCGGCGCTGCGATTCAGTGAAAGGAAACGTGAGAAGAAAGAGAGCAACACCACGAGAAGTCGAGAATAGCGTGAAGTAGAAAGGTTCTGTTTATTTTGTTCATCATATTTCATCCTTTTTTTGTTGTTTACCTGCATATTGTGTATGTAATATATATCTGTGTATGTAGTGTATTGTGTGTTTACCATATGTTAGGACTCATGTTATTCAGTTTTGGTTTTCTTTCCATGAAAAGGTCTTGCTTGCATATGTATTTTTTTAAATGGAGGAGATGAATAATATTCGTGAAGATTTTTTACTGTATGTTCTAGTTTCAATAGAGTTTTTGTTTGTTTTCTCTTGTTTTACTATTTAGTTTTACTATTTAGTTTATCATTAGTATAAGATTTATTATTATTTAATTTTATTTGGTAAATCATGATTTTATTATTATTTCTTTCCTCTTAATTGAATTCTCTTGTTGTTTTGATACTTTAGTATTTTAAAATTTCACTTTCACTTGTTTTTTTAGTAATTTCCTTTTTTTATATTTATTATTTTATTTCTATTATAGTATATAGAGAAAATTAAAAAAAAATCTTATTTGTTTAATTTAAGTACATTCATTTCATTTTTTTTATTTATTGAATGTTTTTTTTAGTTTAGTTAATTTTTTTTTTGTTCATTTTCATATATAATTTTAGATATTGAAAATACCAAAAATGTGTTATGATTATTAATCTTTTAAATATTTTTATTTAATATTGATTAATTAATTTATTAATTAATCTTATTAAATATTTATATTTAAGTTGATTAATAATTCTTTATTCGTCTGATTCTATTACGCGACTTGCTTTGCTTTCATGTTTTTGGACTTTGTTCCTCGATTAATTCTTGTTGCCTTGATTAGTTGATTTGTTTTCACACAATGTTTTGCCGTGTATATGTGTGTGAATTTTATTTGTTGATCACAATGCTTTGCCGTGTACTTTCTGTTTGTCGATGATCATTTGCGATGCTTTGCCGCATAACTTTGTCTATTTATGCATGATGCTTTTCCATGTATGTTGTTAATTCTATTTGTTGATACCATGATGTTTTTCCATGTGTATTCTGTGATATCTTGTCTGTTTGATCCTACAGGATGTTCTTGCCATGTAATGTGTCTGTGTCTTCCTTTGATACCTGCTGATTACATGATGTTCTTCCATGTTTCTGCTGCTTTCTATTCCTTGTTGACTCAATCCAAGGAAAGAGATTGTATGTTGAGTTATTGTTATTGTGCATGTCCCTTGTATGTTTGTTTCTTTACCTGTCTCTATTGTTCTTGGTTTTTAAAACTTAACAACTCGTAGTTCCGAACTACGGACACTCTGATTTCTCAAGTTCCTTTAGAGAATACGTAGGCACAAGGTTTCAATCCTTGACGAGCACTCTTTTCTTTTTTTACACTCTTCTCTTTTTCCATTCTTTTTGCACGTAGTCTTCGAACTACGATTGTTCTGACTTCCTATTAAGGATACATAGGCATAGAATTGCGAGATCCTAGCGAACTATCTTTTTTATTTTTTCTACCTTTTTCTTTTTTCACCTTCTCTCTTTTCTTGGCCCATCTTTTACCCTTTAGCAAACAATTTTAGCCAAAACACAAATATTTCAAGAGGTTCCTGTAGAATACTGTAGATACTTAAGATCATAATACATTCCCTTAGTATAACCAACCCCACACCTTTGATCTCTCTTTGCTTAGCTGTAAGTCTTGATTTTTCCTTTACATTTTTACTTAGGATTTTTGTTCAATCTTTTCTCCCTTCCCTTGAAAAAATAAAAGTTCGGTGGTGATATCTTATTTTTTGTGAGCCAAGATGATCTTATAGCTTTGGTATCCGATTCTCACCGTGACACATAGGTCACTCAACCCAGATAAGGTCATAACCGAGTGAAACCACTCCTTATCCGGTTAAGGCAAGACAATAATCTTCCTCCCATGGTTCAGAAACTTCAGGGGATCACGCATTTGCAATTTTCAAGAAATAATCAATGTCAATAATAATCAATGTTATAAATAATCAGCGTCAGCAATTTAAATTAATGTAAAATAAATCAAAAACCAGACTAATGTTATCTCTTCGTCCCATATATGTCTGTCAATGTGGTCTAGATACAGAGGAAGTAAGAGCAAATCAGATGGACCTCCTCCAAATCCCTCTAACTCGACATTCTTAGCAACCTCACTCTCCGGAGGTGACACTAAATCAGTAGAATCATTAGCGAGAGGTGGCACCGAATCACGAGGAGGTGACGCTGGTGCATCCTGGCGTCTGCAAGAGGATGAGGGAAGTGACACGTCAACTGGTGAATCCTGTCTCATACGAGAAGAAGAAGAAGAAGGTGGAATGCCCTGATATGAAGGTGGAGTGGCCTAAGGTGAAGGTCGAGCCCCAAGAGTAGATTGTGCTCGTGAAGTCGACGCCTATGCCTGACCAGATGTACTCGCTGTCTCCGAAACTGCTGGCTCCGCTCCCGCCAAACAAATGCGTGTTGGGCAACTCAGCCATGTCTTAGTCTGTCGACTCTGTTAGTCATAATACCTGTAAGGTAAATTATGTCGTATCACTAGTGCAGACAACACAAAAAAAACAAGCAAATAAAAAAACAGATTGCAGGATATTCCAGAGTTACATCTCCGGAAACACCTTAAATCCTTTTTATTTGAATACTTTCGAAGATACATTTCTAAAACATCCTATAGGATATGAAACATTGAACAATTTCGGAGATGTATCTCCGAAATATTCTGCAACTCAGAGGTCGCGACAATGGCGTCATCTGCTACTTGCATTGAGAAAAATAAACATATGATCGTCCATTTGAGCCAACAAACAATGCATACACTAACTCTAAACAATGTTACATATGATTTCTAAACATTTATACCCCTAACAATTGATTCCTACTCGTTTACACTATAACTCGAATATTTACAGAAAACTCAAAAAACATATCCGAAATTTATGATTTGGATGATGTTGAATGATGAAATGAATGATGTTTGTTGTTTCCTTGAACCTTCTATTGATGAAATTTGATTTGGTGAAGTTGGATAATATTGAGAATGAGAAGAGTTAATGTGTTGAAGAGTTGGGTTTGAAGAAAAATGAAAAGTGTGAAAGAAGAAGAGTTTGATGCGATGTTAACTTCTAAAATATTTCGAAAATATATCTCCGAATTATTTTAAGTATAACTTAAATTTTAGTACAACGAGAAATATATTTTCAAAATTATGTAGAAAGAAAAACTCAAAAAACAATTAAAATCAGCCACATAATTTTCTTGACTAAATTACGTAATATTACTAGAACTGATCGTACACCTGGTATGTTGCCGGAGTATAGAGTAATTGCCGTGGGGAGGGGCCACTCCAAAATCCAGAACCTTCCAACAGCTGCCTTTCCCCTCACAGTCCCGGCGGTGCTACTCCGTTAACTCCAAATAATGACCAAACCTCAATCAACCTTCACGGCGGCGACTGGTATCGCGCCTCCTACTCTGGTCATTACTTCTACCGACCAAAGAAAAAAACGCCACGGAACTCCAACCACAATACTTTCCCTCGACGGCGATATCCTTTGTACTATCTTCACTTTCCTCAACATGTTCGACCTTGTTCGCTGCTCTCTCGTTTGCAAATTCTGGTATATTTTCCCTTTCATTTTCTATTCTGTTTGCAATTTGAATAGAACAATACCTAATTTCTGAAACTCACTTATTTTTTGTGTTAAAGGAATGCAATCCTTGAGTCTAGATCGTTGCGAGAGTTTTACGAGAAGAAGTTGCTGAAGGATCCTTCGAGTTCATCTGAATTGACTAAAAAGTCCTTGAGAGTGGTTTTAGGGGAAGTAGCTATGGAGCAACATAGATTGGCGCTTCAATGTGGCACATTTCACGTTGATCAGTGGAAGGGTCATTCAACCGCGTAATTTATTAACTCTCTCTTGTAATTCAGTAATAGCATTGCTTTTCGTCTGTAAATTCTAACTCAACTCAAAAGAGCCGATATTGTTAGGTTGAATGTGAACACCAGAGTTCGAGATACTCACGGTTGTGTGTGAGTTTCTAGTGGTTATTACCATTTCGTCTAACCAAAAAAAGTATTGCTTTTCAACCATCACTTGCTTTACTTTAGAATGAGTAGTGCTTGTTACTATACAAATTATGTATGTGCCCGCGTATATGTATATGTGTGTAGACAGGAAGATAGATAAATAGATAAATAAGTTATATATACATACACACACGTATCCTAGGAATTGTTGGTTTTATTGTGTGGAAATGTGTATGTCAAATTTTAAAACTACTATGGCTGATGTTTCATGTTCATCTTAGGTCATTTTTGAAGTTTTAAGGAAATGACAGTTACTAGATTATATATGTAAAAACTGTAAAATGTTAGCATTCTGATGTAAGAAATAATGCTGGATCAATAGTTAAATACTCTGACTGTTTTATCACTTGCTCATTTTTTTTTACTTCTGTCTGATAACTGACAAGTACATACCATATAAACATTTAGGCTGTATATTGATGTTCCACCTTTGCTTTTCGATTCAGGGTTTCTCAGTGTAGAATGAAAATGGGTACGGTTGTTACTGGTGTGGGAGATAAGGTGTGTACACAGTATTATTATATCTCCTTTATTTCTAATTTCTCATTCTTAAAGACATTCTTCTCTGAGCAGCTGGTGTAAACAAGCTGTTAGTTTTATTGTCAATCAAATCTACGGTGGGTTAGGAACTGCTTTGTGGTTCTATGACTAAATTTGGACGATCTAGTTTAAACTCTCGCTCTATACATGCTTATTCCCTCCGTCCCACAATGAGTGGTCCATTTAGAATATAAATATATCCCAAAATGAATGATCCATTTCAATTTTCAATGCACTTTTTCCAATTCTACCCTCCAATTAATACTACTTTCATCATTCCCAATACTTGATAAGGCGTACTTTAGTAAAAATGTCATTCACTCTTTTTATTTACTTCTTTTTCTTAATCTGTGTGAAATGATCAACTAGATCACTCATTGTGGGATGGAGGGAGTACCAAGTACGATTAATAAATTTATGATTTGGTAGTCGTGAAGCATAAACAACACTTTATGCATATACAATACACCTTTTCACAAGACAATATCTAATGATCTTACAGTGTCTGAGTAATCTGTATTCTGTAGGAAGCAGTAAATTAACAATCACTTATGTTTAAAAAAAATACAATCTTATAGAATAATCACAAAAGTTAATTATTCACCAATACCATATATGAATCTGACAATTTTGAAGTATCTAGTTTTTCTTGTAAGTACTACAAAAGATAAGATATGATGAAGATGCATCGTGTACACAGGAATGAAGAATTTAACAACATATATAACTTATAGCATCATTGGGTGGATTGGGGTCATGTTTAGCTCCTTGGGTCCTTAATAGTTTAGAATATGATGGAATGTTGGATAGCTGGAGGGAAGTTTCTCATTAAGAGTTAGTATCAATCTGGTTAAGGCCTGTTTTTCTAGTATTCAAATCTACTGTCTTTCTTTGTGTATGATTATTATATAAGTGGTTTACCAAATTGGAAAGATCACATGACATTTCTTGTTGTTGGGAATTGCTGCAGCCTAGGAGGATTCTTTGGTTAGATAGCTTAACTTTAAGCTTAGAAAGGAGCGAAAATCGACTGTTGTTATTTGGTCCCGGAAAGTGTTGCTTGTCTATTACTCCCTCCGTTCCTTTATAAGTGTGACTTTTGGAATAATTTTTTGTTCCTTTTTAATTGTTACTTGTAAAGTTCAAGGTAGTATTAAAATCATTTTGTCAAAATTATCCCTAAATAATTATTACAGAGAGAGAAAAAGTAAAATGAATGTAATAAATAATTTAAGGGTATTATAGGTAAAAGGATAATAGTTGTATGAAAAGTAACAATATTGATTAGATTCTTTGGTATGTGTAAAAAATAAAAAAATGACACTTAAAAAGGAACGGAGGAAGAACATATTACATAGTGTTTTATGTGGCCCTCAAGACAATGCTTCTTGTTCTTTTAGGCGTAGATATGCATAAAAGATAAGGAGATGTTTCTAACTGGGACATGTCTTAGTATTTTTTGTTGTTTGTAGGTAGAATTTATTCAGGCTTTTTGTAGTTTTATTTATGGCTATCAAGGAAAGTGGGATTTATCTGACATTAATTGTAGGGATCTTGCAGCTATTTATTTTGGTTGAACATAGAAAAGACAAATAATTCAAAGGGCCAAAAACTCATTGCTAAGGATTTAAAGCACTTTCTTATAATTCTTGTTTCTATTGCCTTTTCTTTGGAGGCAGGAGAAAACTTCATCAATAGATTCTTTAGATATCTAATATGGATTTTTATTCTGTTTCTGGAAGTGCGCATGTTCTCTATATTTGAGTATGTTAATCTTTCTAAATAGAGCATTTTTGTCATTCAGAACAGTGTAACTTCCTGATATATTGTTATCATATCTACCTTTAAATTGGTCTTTTATTTTTATAGTTTTTCATGCGGCATTATTACTAACTATTGCGTTGGCATTATGGTAGGTTATTCGTCTCTGGTCATTAGACCGCTATAAATGTGAAGAAGAATACCCGGTACCCGATACGCTACCTCTAGTTGACTTCGATTTTGACGAAAGCAAGGTCAGTGATTGAATGGATGTTTTATGGATTTAATCTTGTCCAGTAAAAGTATAAGGAATTTGACAACTGATACCATAGTAAACATTAAGATACCTCCTATTTAAAATATAGTGAAAAGCTTTTATTAGGAATGAAAAACCTTAAATAGTGTGATTAATTAATTCACATTCTACAAAAAGTTATGGGATAAGTGTAAGTGCAAAAGTTTGGCTCTTGGTTTCAATTGATCCTAGCACTGTTGTCGATAGCTGAAGGTCAAATATCCCCCATATAAACACACCACTGTGGCCTATGGCGGTCATTCCTTCACAAATTGGCTATGGAAGTTGTAAAAAAATTTGCCACCCCATTCCACCATGGCACCACCATTAATCAACGCTTTTCACAAGAGATACCACTTACATAGACAAATGTATGTATGTATCAGGTGTCAAAATTAACATACTTACACTTTCAACAACTGGCTGTAAAATGAAAAATTAATTTTGTTTAAATTGCTATGGAGTCTAACTGTGCTACTAATCAGCTGTAGGCTGATGTTCATCTGGTGTATCTTTACATCTGTGCTGTCAATTCCGTAAAAATTGTTGTCAGTTCAAGTTTTTTAAAGTTCCTAAACTTGCTGAAGTTTTGCATGTTTTATGGTTTAAATCTCTTGAAATATTCATTTGTAGATTGTTGGTCTAATTGGAAGTCGTTTGTGCATATGGAGGCGGAATGGGAAAAGAAGTGTATTTCCTTCTCTTGAAGGCAAATTCGTAACAGGTTCATGCATGCGGTAAACAAAAACAATGCACTTTCTTCGGGTTTATTACAAATTCTGTTTCACTAGGAAGTCAGAATCTTGTATACTTAGCTGACCTGAAGTTAAAAGTGTATCTACATTGAGTTTTATAAGGCAGTATACTGCTTACTCTGAACTTCACTTGTGAAATACAGCCTTCTTGATTTTCTTTTCTGTTCTATTCCTATTATTTTTCTATAATTACTATAAAAAGATTAACATTTGCAATTACTAAGCAAATGTCTGAATTGTTACTTGAATTTTAGTGATCCTATTAGAGCTGTTAATTAATTATATTATAACACTTATATTTAATAATTTTTGTAAGATCACATGACCTATGTGAAAATTGTGTATTTTACAATCTTACACCTCTCTCCCACTCCTAGATAGGAACTTGATTTTGACCTGAATTTTTTTTCTCCATTGTTATGTACTTGCAGTTACTTTGATCCAGAAGCTATGGTTGGATTTGATGACGGGGCTGTTCGTGTTTTTGACATGTATAGTAGGAGATGTTCTCAAATAATAAGGTAACTGTTTTTTTCTCTTCTATTTGTGTTAAAAAAATGATCTCCTGTAACTACGCATTAAGTTTATTATGAAAAAGAACACAAATTGCACATTGCGTAAAATAATTAATCTCATTGTTATTGGTGGATTCATTTGTATTGCTCACGAATAACTGAAACATGTCGTCTAACATTTATAATGTTTTAAAAATGTTATCTGCAGAATGCATTCTTCACCTATAACTTGTTTATGTTTAAGTGAAGATCAACTGATACTAAGTGGCTCCACTTCAGGGAATATAACAATATCAGATCCTTCTTCTGTTCAGAAAGTAGCAAGACTTAGATCAAGCGATTTAAGAGGTAATGGTTTATCCCTTTTAGTTGATAATGTGGTTAGCATGATTGCATTCAAGATATCCAACATAATTATAAGAATCAAATTAAGTATCCTTTTTTATTAGCATCATCCATTCCTTTGTGTAACATGTATGACCCTTGTTTTGTTTTTGTTGCTTTATTGTTCTCTTCCCTCTTTCATTATTAATATATGTAATTATTTATTTCTTTGTGGGCCATATTATACAGTCTCAAATTCAAAGTTAGTTTCTCAATTCACTAGTACTAGGTTAGCACATCTCCTGTGTCCTCTATGTTATGCGGTTCTACAGATGCACTACAGTACTTGTGTTTGGCACTTTAACTGAAGTGAAGTTTATATGCCTCTATTTTCTTTGCTGGAGTACTGTTTGAAAAAATAATATATATTACATGTTTGAAATATTACTTTTGCTTGATATATAGTTCTATTATTAGTTTGATGAATACAAGAAATTAAGCACTACAGACTCTATTAAGTGAAAATCTTATTTAATATTTTGTTTTCCTTGCAGGCATAAAGACCTTGTGTTTAAAACCCTCATCTCAGCTTCTGTTTGCTGGATCAGCTGTTGGGTATACATATTGCTGGGACATGAGGTATGCTTGTAATAGTCTATTGATAGGGTGTGTCAACTCTAAATTTTGACCAAAACATTTTTTATTTTTCATTCATCTGACTGTATTTTCACTTTGTATTGTCTGCATAGCATATCATGTCTTTTATCATGCATAATGCCTGAATTATAAATCAAAATAAATTTGTCGGATTTACATTCGTTTTGGTCTAACTAAAGGTCAACTGTGCGTAAAATCAATGTGCGGAAAGTTTTAAAGTCGAGCTTGTAGACATCAGTTATATTAATATATGTTTCGCTTAGTTTAATATGGTGTGCTCGTTTTAATTTTTCAACTGCTTTTCGGTCACGTTTTTGATCCGTCTGAGTCTTTTAACCGGGTAAAATTTATTTCAAAATTTGACCAAACGCTGTATTTTTCTGAGTCGTTTATTTCGCGCTGATCATTTTGGTGTCTTCATTTTTATTTTTCGAGCACTTTAATACTAGACTGTTTGTTCGTTTTTAACCGGTTTCATTTTTATTTCTGGTAAATAATTTTTTAATTAATCAGTTTTTTTCAGATTTACTTTTTAGTTAATTTTATTTTATGATCACTTTTTTTAGAAACGTAGTGTGTAAGTTTAGAAACTTGACAAACAAGTCTTAATTTTTGTTTACTTGGTGAGCAAGTCTTAATTTTTGTTTATTTGGTGAGAAAGTCTTACTTTTTGTATACTTGATGAGCAAGTCTTAATTTTTGAAACTTGGTGAACAAGCCTTGAACCTGAGGATGCCAATGAACAATATCAGATCTTGGAGAAGAGACTTGGAGTTGTGGAAGAAAATGACTTCTTCAGTGTCTACACTTGGATAATCACGATAGTACATCCTAAAGGCAAAGTGGGGTAAGTGGGATACTAAGGTCCTCAGCTCCTAGGTTGGAAAAAGTAATGGCATTACGACTATTCGCAAATGACATAGTAATTCCAAAGGGGCCTCCACTGAGTGTGGTTGTATCATATATTAATCATGCGTAGGATTACTCCAGACATGTAACTTTTGATTATACCAACATCCTATCTTAATGTACACTCAAGTCCGGGTTAGGACTTATCTCACTACTCATGGAACAACCAAGATCTCAAACAAATAACTTTAGCAAAAACATAGATATTTCAAGAGGTTCTTGTAGAGTAGTACGGATGCTAATACATTCTCTTAGTATAACCAACTCCCGTATCTTTGATCTCTTGTTTGCTCAGTCTTTAAGCCTATCTTTAACTTTGCATATTTAATTAAAGTTTATTTGATCCTTTTCCCTTTCCTTGGATAAATTTAAGTTCGGTGTTGACATATTTTATTTTGCGAGTCAAATTAATGTAATAGCTTGGTCTCTGATTCTCACTGCGCACAGGGTGCATAAACATTAGAAATTTATAAACAAATTAAGATTGATATAATTAAGCATGTCATATCATTTCCAAGGTTGTAAGTCGCAGTTGCACTGCAATTTTTGATATTGCAAAGAATTACTGCCAATGCTATTGATGCGGCCATATTTGTTGTTGATTTGGAACAGAAAGGCACTGCATGCATTAACCATTAGTCATCCATTTTCACTTGATCAATGCTAGATTTTATCTATTTCATTGTTCATATATGTAATCTTGTTTTTTTGCATCATACAGGACAAGGAGACTCTTGTGGGAGAAGCGAGTGAGTCCTAATGTTGTTTACTCTTTACAGCACATGCAGAATGACAAATCAACATTGGCTGTTGGAGGAATAGATGGTATCTTAAGATTTGTAAATCAAAATGATGGTAATATTGTTTCAAGTTGTATTATGGATGATAAATTGTGGGCAACATATCAAAGTCATTCGGGCAGTATCCGAAGAACGAATGGGAAGAGATTGCCTGAGGACACCTACATAAATATTGATGTCATTCCGAAGAATTCTCGACCTTCGATTACATGCCTTGCTGTTGGAATGAAGAAGATTGTTACCACACATAATGCCAGAGACATCAGATTGTGGAAATTGAAAGACAAAAATATCTGTACACTGTAAAATTAAGAATTTCTGATCTACTATTTATTTGTTTACTCTTTGTTTGGGGTTTTCTATATTGTAACAAAAATAGCCACTTTTGTATAATCAGCATATGCATTTTTGTTTAGCTGTAACAGTTGTCAAGAGTCAAGTTTAGGAGTATTCACATCAAAATCCTAAACCAATAAGATAAAAAATTGAGTACTGCATAAATTCAAATATTATTTGATTTGAATATGCTTTTGTGAAAACCATTCATATTAGTTTCCCGAAATCGAATGTAACTACATGAATTGTAATACTAAATTTTTTATTTGTATTATATTTTGCATTAATCTATTATTTGTTGCATTTTAATACAAGATATGAATCAATCTAATAAATGTTCCTAAGATGCATTGGGTTAATTGAGATGTGTTCAGATAGGGAGGTTAGGGGTTCATAGGGTAACATGATAGGCAAGTGGTGGAAGAAGTTCATGTTATCAGAATGTGTTATAGAAGTGAAATATGAAAGAGAAGGGTGGAGGTTGGACTTAGGTTGGTGGTTAGATGTGTGATTATCCTGTTTGATGGATAATGGAGAAGGAAAGTTCTTTTGAAAGGACTCTTAGACCATCTTTAGAGGTCATAATTTTTGGGGAATGCCGCTAGCTGTCAATCAAAAGTGATATTTGAGTTTTTTCAACTAACCAAACATTGCATTACATTGCAATGGTGTAATTGAATTTAAAAATTATAAATGTTCTAACCAATATGGTAATATGAATAAAATAAAATTTAATATAAATAGTATATTAAATAAAATAGTGGGACCTAATATGAGTTTTTTAGAGTTGTATCATTAAAGTGAAAATTAAACTAGTTGTTTGAAGATGATGTGTCTTGATGAGTCCCACAAAAAATCTAAAAATAGATTGTACCATTGGAGATGTTTTTAGTTGGAGGTAGACATTTTGCTTTAGATTTTTTCGATTGATAATTTGTTTCTCCGAAAATGAGAATAGTAGGTTAGGGATTGAGGGTTTAGGGTAGGGGTGACTAAAAATGATTTTCACTTGGGAGGAGGAACGAGTGGTAGAGTGTTGCTCTTTGTTTGGTAACGTTGTTTTGCAAAATAAAGTTGTTGACTGTACCAAACGTTAGTTGATCCAGTGGTGATTGACACTGCATTTGGTAGAGAGGACTGTAGTTCGATCCTTCGCAACTGAGATTGAGAGGGGGCTTGAACCACTTGATGCTAAAATTACCCTCGAACCAGATTAATCGGTCCAGTGAAGACAATATAGAGAGCCAAGGAATAATATTGTCAGACTCAACTGAGATTGAGAGGGGGCTTGAACCACTTGATGCTAAAATTACCCTCGAACCAGATTAATCGGTCCAGTGAAGACAATATAGAGAGCCAAGGAATAATATTGTCAGACTCAAGAGGATTCCAGTGAAGACAATATAGAGAGCCAAAGAATAATATTGTCAGACTCAAGAGGATGCGTACAAAAGGACAATGTTCAATGTTTATTTTTGTAAGTGAGACCAATATAGATAAGTGGAGAATAATGAATGAGTGAAGTGAGGTGAGAAAAAGAAGAACCCAAGCGAAACCATTGTGTTTTTCAATTTGGAAAGCAAAAAAAAAGGGAAATGGGTGGAAGATGGTGAGACTATTACGTCCTTTTTCTTCACGGAATTTCCAGACGCCATGGATGTGAAGGAAATGCTTGAGGTCTTCAAAGATTACATATTGGTTTCAGAAGTATTTATTCCAGCAAGAAAGGACAAGAGGGGAAAGAGGTATGAATTTGCTCGAATTAGGAAGGTGATAAATGCTAGAATCATGGCGGTAAGGTTAGATAGTATACAACTACATGGAAATAATTTTTTTGCCAACATACCACGATTCCACCGTGATGCACAAGGTGAAAGACTGCAGGCGGTAATGGGGGTGAAGGAAGTCAAGACGAGTGGTGGTTTTAAAGGAAAAGCTATTGAAAACCATATTACTTCAGGTAAAACATACACACAAGTGGCTGGAGTGAGGTGTACCTCAAATAGGAGGCTGAAAACCATTTCAGAGAAACCCAAGTTTGCTCATCTCCAGTTTAATGTGGATAAGGATGGTTTGGTGAGGTTTGAGAAGGTGTTCGTGTGGGAGGTGCTAGAATTGGGGAACACTTATAATATTCAGGATGCTGTCAATGCTGAAGGATTCTTTAACATTAAAACTTTTCCCCTTGGGGAAAATCTTTGTTTGATAGAGGAGGGTGGGGATGGAACTATCAAAATACTAGTTCAAGAGGCTCGTGGGTGGATTGGAAAATGGTTCAGTGAGATTCGACCATGGACACTGGGAGATATAGATAACGAAAGGGTGACTTAGATGAAATACTATGGCCTCCCTTGCCATGCATGGTTGACCAAATTCTTTAGATTTGTGTCTGGTACGGTAGAGACTTTCATATGCTATAACAAAGACTGAGAAGCAAAAGAACTTCAAAGTTGCGAGGTTCTTGATCAAAACCAAATTTGCACTGAACTTGAATGAAGTTTTTAATTTCAAAATAAATGATAGGATCTATAGGATCAAGTTGGTGGAAGATCATCATAGGCCCAAAAGGATTGTGATTCCTAATGCTGACAAGGAGATCAATGTTTCATATATGTTAGAATCATCTGGGGATGGTGGCATGTGAGACGTTTTTTTGATTGTTCTACCCCACTTTGAAATCAAAAATTCCATAATACCCCATCCTAAAAATTATTTACTGATATACCCCACTTTTAATGTGGACTCGTCCATCCAATTGGCGAGCTTGTGCAACGATTCTGGCCCAAGAGTGAGCTCGTCCAGAATGGACGAGCTTGTGAAGAACTTTTTTTTTTCTTCCTGATTTATTTATTTAATAATTTATTAATTAAATAAATCATTAAATAAACAAATCAGTATTTATAGTATTCTGGCCCAAAAATGATTTACTAATTAATTAGTATTTAAAAATTAATTAGTATTTATAGTTAGTATTTAAAAATTAATTAGTATTTATAGTATTCTGGCCAAAAAATTAATTAATTAATAAATTATTAAATAAACAAATCAGAAAAAAAAGGTTCTTCACAAGCTCGTCCAATGGATGGACGGGCTCACTCTTGGGCCAGAATTTTTGCACAAGCTCGCAAACTGGATGGACGAGTCCACATTAAAAGTGGTGAAAGTGGGGTATATCAGTAAATAATTTTTAGGGTGGGGTATTATGGGATTTTTGATTTCAAAGTGGGGTAGAATAATCAAAAAAACCATGTGAGACTCTGAATCGGAGGAGGAAGAGGAAAGAGAGTATAGGGAGTCTAGTGCTAAAGGTGGTGACAGGGAAAGTACGAATGTTGGTAAACATGCTGGTCTAGGAAGTAGTGAGGCGGCGGATTGTTCATGTTTTGTTGCAAACGTGGGGGCTGGTGTCAGACAAGACAAAGAACCATGGGAGAATAAAGGTGAAAGTTCTGAAAAGGTAATTTTTGTCAAAGGATCTGGTGGAAAAAACGTGGAGGAATGTGCATATTCATTAACTATGGAGAAAAACATGGAGGATATTGCAATTTCATTAAATGTGAAGGAAGGAACATTTAATGCGGGTCACATTGGAAGCGTATCAACAGAACAACTCCCTGATGTTCCCCTTCTTAAAGCAAATGACGTGGAAAAAAGGTTGAAGCTGGCTATTTGCCCTACGCCCAATGTGGAACTGGGTTGTGACAATAATACAAATTTAGATAAAAATTTTTACCCTATATCTCTACAATTTTTTTTAAATATTCTAAAATTATCCTTTTCATTTTTTTTACTTTTTACTGTGCAGTCAATTCAAAAAAATGGTTTTTTGGAAGTATACGATGCCAACCGGATAACATTAGGTAAAGAAATCCAGAATGTATTATTTGCAAACTAGAAAACACACGTAGAAGAAATCCAGTTGTATAACTTAACAAACCGATAACTGGTAAGTGAGTTATCTGGTTCATATAATACGTTCCAGAGAACACATTCATAACCTCTCCGATTTATATTTTACACGTTCCGGATATCTTATGTACAAGTGTTTTGGTTTTGGTATTTTTTACTTCTGGATAACTTTACTCCAAGTTATCTGGAACGCTGTTTTTTTTACTTCCGGATAAGTTTACTCTAAGTTATCCAGTGCATAAAATACAAATCGGATAACTTCACCACAAGTTATTTGGAGAACAAAAATAAAAAAGGTAAATCGAAAAACTTACTAGTAAGTTCTCCAGAGTGCAAATCGTGAACCATAAATCTTTTGTCTGAGTTCTCCGAAAGCCAAAAAAATTATGTGGAATTTTTACGCTCTAGATTGAAGGAAATGAGGAAAAGGTGAAAAATTTTAAATTGTTGAATATTTATACAAGAGTATTTTTGTCCAATTTTTTATGTTGTAGGAGTATGAGGTTAATTGGGTATGGGATAAAATTTTCATTCAGATCCTATCTCTTGTTCCCCATGTCGGCCTATTGGGCCTTTATGAAGGATTAAGCCAAGGTAGAAATAACTTGTAAATGAAATATATGAAAACATTCAAATCCCATTCTCACCATTGTATTTTTCGACCTTACTGCATTCTTCTGTAGCTAAACCCATGGTGATAAATGCTTCATCCATTAGGACAATTTCGATTCCTAATTCTTCTTAGGTGGATGACTCATCATCCCGGTATTTTGGAGGTTCTATATTGTGTTGCGATTCAATTACTGATATAGACGTGAATCAAGGGAGTTCTAGATGCAGAAGAACATTGGAGAAAGTTCTTTGAAGGTTTGGCAATCTATGAAGCAATTGGGGATTGAAGGAGAGGATGATGATGAATTGTTTGAAGGGATTATTAGGGAAATGAAGGCTAAAGATAGAAAAAAACATACACAAGAAAGTTCACCATTTTCTTAAAACAAATACTTTTCACCATACACTTTGGTGAATAAGTAATATATCACACTTTGTTGAGAATCTTGAAGAAATTTATAGGATGATGATTTCCAAATTCAAACTTGAAATATGAACTTTTTCTTTTAAAATATCACAACTTAAATTAATACCACTTAAATGCTTAGATCATGTTTTGAAACTTCAATGACATTTGAAAATTTGTGAAGTTTCAAAACCTTTGAATAAATGATGAGCACTTGAAAAGATTGTTTGAATTGTGTAAAATAAAATTTGAAAATTGTTAAATTCATTATCTAATCTAAAATACTTATACACATTAATATAACCCTTTGTGAATAGAGGCAACTCTTTGAAAAAGTTTCATAAAGCATTGTCACGCCTTACATATAAAGACTATAAATAAACTATTAGGTCATAACCATATCATAATGATTCAGTAAGGGATTTTTTAGTTTCAATTTTCAATTGATGCACAATCAGATTTTGAAAATATGTTTTTGGAATCTTTTAGAAAATTTATTTCTAGAATAAATTTATTTATAAAATTAAAATCTAACTAAAAAACAAATAAAATATATGTATTTGGGTGTGTTAGTTTAGTGTTTTAGGCTCATACTGAAATAAGAATTTTAGTAACAAATTTTTATGAATGATAATTTAGAAATACTATTTTCATTTTAATTAATAATTGTTAGTAAACACAAAATTAAACATTTTTACTTAAAATTGAGACCATACCCATAATCCTAACATTTATATCATAATCCATTATATTAAATATTAGTGATTTCATTAGAAAAAGAATAGTATATCAACCAAATAATTAATAATAAAAAAAAAGAAAACTTATTTTAGTTTATTTTATTTTTTGGTTTTCCACCGTCAAATATTTAGTTTATTGGATCACCTAATTTAATTCAAAAGTTAATTCTGACATCAAATCAATTATAATTTAATTTATCCACTGAAAATTTATTTTAGTTATGAAAGAAATGATGTGACATAAAAAATAAAAAGTCTTTTATTCTTTAAAGAAACATGATAATTTAATTCTTATCTTATTTATATTTTATTTGATTGATGGATTAAAAATATAGAATTTTTTTTATTAAATATAAAATATTTTACACCGTTAATTAATTACAATCATATATTAAAATAAAATATATTTTTATTTTAAAAATATTAATATTACATAATAATTATACACATTTTGATTGTATGTCTAACATAGAGTTATCTTTAAATCTTTAAGAAAATAAAATAAATATTATATCAACGCATAGATTTACCAGCAGATTCTCTCTTCACAATTCCCTTCCCTCCCAAACCCCTTGAATCGAAACCCTAACCACGAACCACCAAAATCAAAAATCCCCAACCATGGTGTGCATAAGAAAAGCAACGGTCAACGACCTCCTCGCGATGCAAGCATGTAATCTCTTCTGTCTCCCGGAGAATTACCAGATGAAGTATTACCTATACCACATCCTCTCTTGGCCGCAGCTTCTTTACGTCGCCGAAGATTACAACGGCCGTATCGTCGGTTACGTCCTCGCGAAGATGGAAGAGGAGACTAATGAGTGTCACGGACATATTACATCTCTCGCTGTTCTGAGAACTCATCGGAAACTTGGGATTGCTACTAAGCTTATGACCGCCGCACAAAACGCCATGGAACAGGTTTGAGATTTGTTAGTTACATTGTGGGTTTAGTTTGTTATAAGTTAGTTCAGATTTGTTAGTTATGTTAAGGTGTTTAGTTACAACTTATAAGGGTCTCTTTTGTTTGGATTGATTAAAATTTTGTGAGAATGTTTGGAAGAACTTTAGAGAACAACTTATGACTTTATTCCTAAGCTATTTTTAGCTTATTTTAAAAAAATCTCCAAGATAGTTTAGGAAAATAAATAGCCTATAGCTTATTCACAAACAATTTATTCTAGTTCTAGCCTTTGCTATAAAAACAGCTTATACATAAATACCTATTATGATAAGCACTTTTTCTATAAGCTGTAATCAAACAGGGCCTAAGCCTGTTACTGTTAGCGACATTTAGAATCATTTTGAGAGTTAGTTTGGAGTTTGTAACTATGGCCCGAATTGGATACACAACTTAAATTAATTAAGCTCTTATGTTGCATGCACTTATTGTATAAGTATGCACTTATTACCAAAAGATAAATTACAGTGAAGTTATTTTGTAAGCTATCCAGAGAACTAATGGACATGTCATAAGTTACTTCTTGTTTAATAAGTTCTCCCAAACAATTCATAAGTGCTTGCTTATGCTTGTAGATAAAGTGATAAACTCAAACAAGTCAATTTAATTATACCTTATAACTTTCTGTAACAACTGTGTTATACTTGAGCTAATGGCAGTAACCCAAATGCCATGGAATAGGTTTTACCGAATCTGTAACAAGTTTGTTTGGCTTAGTTACTTACATTACATCACATCACTGTGTTCAGTTACAACTTACTAGTTTGTTACTGTTAGTTATTAGAGTTAGTTGGGAATTTGTGCCTGTAACTCTGTTATGGTTAGGTTATACTTAAGCTCATGAGTGCTGCTCAAAACAACATGAAATAAATTTCTTTCTGATTATGTTGCAAGTTTGTTAGTAGATAGTTAGTTGGTTTCATCGTTAGAATTAGTTACAACTTACATCATTTCACAACAATTAGTTACTTGTTAGTTTTTTCCAGAGTAGTCAATTCCGGATAGTGGAGTTGCCAACCCCAAAAGTGGGTTAGTGGGATGGCGTATAGCGGGATGACCGCTATTTGATAATTTTTAAGAACAATTGAAGTGCAGAAGCGATGATGAAGGAAGGTTAAATTGAGTCTTAACTTAAATTTGATTGAAAATCCAAAATTACCGTTAAAACCTTTTAAATTTAAGGGGTAATTTCGGTTTTTCAGAGGGATAAAAGATAGCAGGCCTGAAACCACTCCGGTCCGGGAACCGCTCTGCTTCGCTATCCCTCTATTTACCTGCTATAGTGTTCTGCACCACTAAGGCTCTTCCTACAGTGGCTGGCTTCCGTCCCGCTATCCCGCTATAGTGTCGCTATTGACTACTCTGGTTTTTTTTTCCTTAATAGGCAAATGTTACTCTCTCTGTCCCAAATTAAGAGTCCCCTTTTCCATTTTTCTGTCTCGAAGTATTTGTTCCTTTAGAATACCAATGCATTATTTATTAATATGACCCATTAACATACTCTTGTTTATTATATTTAAATTCATCTAAGTACTCCACTAAACTACTACTAATAAGGGTATTTTAGTAAATGAAATTCATTTTTTCATTGAAATCAACACAACTAATCATTATCTTAAAAATTGTGAAAAACTCCAATGAGATACCGAATTTGAGATGGGAAGTAGTAAGTTAGGGGTTATGTTTGTTTTCACCGTTCAAATTTTGGACGTCTGGCTTAAGATTCATTCTGTGTCTGTTATCTCATCAACCGGGAAAATGCTTAGTATTATTGAGTGTCTTTAAGTAGATTGTTGAAATAAGTACTTGATGAGAATATTTATCTCATAAGACATTATGTATATGCATAAGGTAAGAGATGATTTTAACTTATGAGGGAAGGAGCTATTAGCTACAATACTCTTAAATATTACAATATCATTTTGATACTTTTTCCTTCAAGTGGTTTGCTAGAAAGTTTCTCACTATCACATATTTTAAATACTACAATTCTATATGACAGGAGTTAGATTCATCAACTTGTCTATAAGAAGTGTCTCTTATTGTAATTGGGCTTTGTGTAAACTTTAATATTGTTACTGTTATTTTATATGTGATGCAGGTGTTTAGTGCAGAATACGTCTCGCTGCACGTCAGGAAGAGCAACCGTGCAGCTTTTAACTTGTACACAGAGACATTAGGGTACAAGATTCATGATGTGGAGGCCAAGTATTATGCCGATGGGGAGGATGCTTATGACATGAGGAAGCAACTCAAGGGGAAGCAGTTGAATCAGCACCAGCATCAGCATCACCACCACCACCACCATCATGGCGGTGGTTGTTGTTCCGGGGAGGCCAAGGGGAATGCAAAAGCCACCTGATTGTGAGAGCAACTTTCCCCATTTTGGCTTGTGAAATTTGATATTGACAAGATGGTAATATGTGGACGAATAATGCTTTGTTACTTGTTGTAAGCTTATTTAGTTATGTTCACTATTTTTGTCTATTTGAATATCCGATTTTACTATTTTAGTGAATGAATGCACTGGATTATGGTTCATGATATGATGTTTGATTGAGCAGGGTTGCATTCAGACATATTTGCTTTTATGTTATGGGGGTATTATTTGGATATATTATGATGAATTTTTGAAGTTTTTAAATCTTGCTTAGTTTGTCGTTGTGTCGGGTAGTTCCTTGGGTCATCTTATGGTTGATAGTATCAGTACTGTATTGTGTGACCTTAAGGTACTGCAGAGCTCTATTTCAAATATATGCGTTAGGATTTTAAAATTTGAATGCGACCATTCTACAATAAAAACCACTTCATAACTGGATTTTTTTATTTATAAAATAACCTTATTTTCAATTAAAATACCAAATAAACATATATTTCATAAAAATGATCAAAGTAGTTATATTTGTGCATTGAATCGACATATGAAACGGCTGATCAAGGTCACCTTGACTTGAATTGCCATTTCATATGGCGTATGGCGTAAGGGTACAAAATAAAAACTCTACCCTATATATATATTATTTAATGTTTTGTAAAAAAACACATAATTAAGAAAAATAATAAAATTTGTTTATTTTTAATAAATTATAATATTTATAATATAAAAAAGTTTCAATATTGTACGATAGATGAAAAAAAAAATCAATGACTGACTCTATTAAAACAACCACTGGTTCCACATTGGGGAGGATTCGCGCGGCGTCGAGGTCTACCACAAGGTTGTTGATGTGTATCTGATCTTTGCGTGTTGATCCGCGGAAGAGGTATTTGTTGAGATGGCTCCGGCGTATCAGATAAATTTTGAAGCATTTGACCCCAATAGCCGGGCGGACCGCTGTCAGCGACGCTTCCATAATTAAGTTCAATGCCCATGTTTTCGTAGTTTTGTCAGAGATGTTGGGTCGGGTGTGGACAGTATGGTTGTCCGAATTGGTACATCGAATCAGTTTGAGAACGATGTAATGGTTGTTGTGGGGTTTGATAGTTAAAAAGTGGATAAATATTTTGTTGGTAGGAAGATTGATTGTCTGGTGTGGGGTCAAAAGAGTTATCTGTACTATAGGTGGATAGGGTATGGTCAAAAGATGTATCAGAGCTATATGCAGAAGTGGTGTCGGTTTCGGGAGGCTGGCGATAGGGGTAAGGCTCTTGTTGTTGTGATTGAGTTGGTGGCATGTATGGGTTGCGATTTTGGAAGATTGATTGGGTGAACATAGTTGGATGTTGGGTATAACATGGTATTTGATGTTGGACATTGGGTTGCTGCTGCGGGTTCGAGGAAGACACACGTTACCTTAGGTCAATCAAATATGTCGGCTCAGACACAAATTGTTGTGATGTTGTAACCGACCTAAACCAAATCATATATCGATAACTTGGTCTAGCCCCTTCCGCAAGAGGGTCAGTTAAGATGTGTTGATGTCGGTTCTTCTAATGCAGACACGTCTCTTTTGCAAAGTCCTTTCAATGATTTACATTCCATTGTGTATCCATCCTTAGCTGATGCCAGTGTTCCAAAGACGTTGGAGCGACTGGAATATCCTGATACATCCCGAACTGCAGTTTCACCCGATCACTTTGGTGCATTTCCACTGTAGTGAACCGAATGATAAGTGTTTTAGATGTTCACACGACAACATCATTGGAGTTGGGCTGATGGTCGAGACCCTCGTACGACATCCAGACAAACTACATTAACAATATATTTAATGAGAAATACAAGTATGTGGTTATTAATTAGACAAAGTAATAAGACATCGTTGGTAGATAAATTACATTGTCTGACCCAATGTGTTCTATAAGGTTGCGGTACACGATTATGGAGTTTTTAAGACATCTTTGGTAATTCATTTTCAGAACATGCCACCTAAAAAAAAGAAACACAAATAAATTAGTTACTAAGAAACACTGCACAAATAATTAAGTTACAAAGAAACATCGTTTGTATACTTATATTGAAAATAAACTTACTTGTTAGCGTGGGGGAATGTGAATGGATTGTGGTTGATTGGAGCAAGTGTTGGCATCCTAGACCAACCCCACGCTTGAAGGAGATAAGCGCAACCATTAAAAGTACAATAATTTTTTGTTGCATTTTTACATAATGAACTATATAGATGGACGAGGACAACTGAACCCCAACTATATGTGCACACTTTATTAATGTTGTGCAACAACGGTAAATACATAATATTTACAGTATTTTCAGTACTTTTTGGAAATAAAAAAATGACCAAATAATATCATAATATAGCACTGAGTTTTAACTATCTTCTCATACTCGGCGGATTTCTCATTTAACACGATACTATTGTAGTGTTCTCTGAGGTATTTCAAATTAATACCTTGCCCCCTCGGTCGCCCTTCACGTTGTGGATGAGGTGTGTCGACGCATAGAGGGGCGCCCAGTAAATCTTCGCAAAGTTGGTCATTAACACCAACTTTGCCATTGACGGCCTTACCATTGACGAGTAGGCCAAGTAACATGTAGACATCTTGTAAAGTTACGGTACATTCACCGAAAGGTAGGTGAAATGTGTGGGTTTCTGGTCTCCAGCGTTCTAGTAACGCTTAAATAAATTTGGGATCCAGTGAGTACGATTTGATTTTAATCAAATCACCAAATCCACATGCTTCTATGTATCCTTCTATGAATGGGTCGTGTGGTATGTAGTCATGCACACGACAACGAAACCTTGATACATTCTGCAAAAGAATATAAATATCATTAGGTTTAAAGGAAAATTCAACTTAGTAAAGAATGACAATAAAAAGAAAAATACTTACAAACTTTGGGATGTTCTCAATTGTTCCTCTATGATCGTTGCCCATTGTGAGTAGAGACATTGTGGGTTAAGTTTGACGCGTGAAGTTTGCAGAGTGATGAGAATATTTTGTTGAACGTTTGAGGAGTAGAGTTTGTAATATGATGAGAAGAATTTGTTTCTTGATGAACATGTATTTATAATGGTTAAATGTGATGAGAGGAGTCACATGAAAATGCATGCTGAAGTGTGCAAGTTTCTAAGTGTAGGAGTCACATGAAAATGCATGTTGCAGTGTGCAAGTTTCTAAGTGTATGAGTTACATGAAAATGCATGTTGTAGTGTTGTCATTCATGCAAAGTGTTGTGTTAAAAGTGTAGGTCTGCTATGGTAATAGTGTAGGCATCTGAATACTACCACTATTAATGCATGCTGAAACATGATGACAATGGTGTAGGAAAGCGTTCAAGTGTGGTCTTGTCATGCATGTGAATTCATCGCATGAGTGTAGTGTTGTCATGCTTGCAAAGTGTTGTAAAAATATAAGTTCTACTAGAGTGTAGTGTTGTTAAGCATGCATAGTAAAATGTGGTCTTAAAAGTGAAGTCTTTGTATGTATCATATAAATTCTGCTAGGGTATTAATGCATGCTAAATTTTTATGACAATGGTGAAGGGAAGCGTGCAAGTGTAGTCTTGTCTTACAAGATTCTTGGCCATTGGTATGCAAAGAATCTTACAGTCATTGATTGATAGAGTGTAGTCTTAAATATATGATCACATATTTTTTTTTCCTTATTACAAAGATATGATCACATATTTTTTCCTTTATTACAAGTATGTATCGTATAATGTAGTCTTAAAGATATGAAGATGTGTTAAGTTGTACGGATAACATTTTTAGAAAACAAGATGACAAGGATATTTATTAGTAAGAAAGCGTGTAAAACAGTATCTTGCGAGACTAATAGTGTAGCGATGTGTAGACATTATTAGTAAGAATCTTGTAGGCATGCAGAATGTAATGTTGTTATGAAGAGAATCTTGTAGGCACACAGAGTGTAGCTATGTAGAGTGTAGTCTTGTCGTGCAGAGAATCCTGTAGGCACGCAGAGTGTAGCCACGCAGAGTGTAGTTTTGTCGTGCAAAGAATCTCGTAGGCACGCAGAGTGTAGCTATGCAGAGTGTCGTCTTTTCGTGCAGAGAATCTTGTAGGCACGCAGAGACATGTGATGAGTGCAGATTTAATAATAAAAAACAACACTATATTTCTATTAATACAATAGATATAGTTGATGTATTAGTATATCAATTAGTAAAACAATCCTTTCAAACACAAGTTTAGTAATATATTTGTTATGGCTCAAAGACCACAATACATGATCAGTGCACATTTAAACGGCGAGGTTTTGAATGTAACTCGGCCGATTTCAATTTTCAAAATACTGATGTTACTAGGTTTTTGATTGACAGAAGATTAAATTTTTACACTTGAAATCGAGATTAGAAAAGAAATTACAGTGTGGTCCAGTTGGCTAAATAATCTACAAGAATCCTGTGTTTTTTTGCGGGCACGAGCAATGCAAAATTTCCCAATTAAAGATTCGAGAGGATGAAGATGTGCGTAACATGTTTCACAGTCATGAGTATTCCAGTTTTTCAGATATTTTGTACAAAAGAAGATTGTGTCCGAGCAATAAAACAATATCACATGGACTTATCAACATATTATAGAGTCTATCGAACAAATCCAATTATGTATAAGATCTATTGCCGTAACAAGCTGTGTCCGTTTCAATTAACAACGTCTTTCTGGAAGAGAAATGATTCATGGAAGATAGGGTCAATGGGTCCAGCGCACACTTGTATTATCACGAATCCGATGCAGGACCATCGCAAGCTCAACTCTCAATTAATTTGCGATGAAATTCTATCGATCATTAGTGATAACCCTTCTTTGAAAGTGAATACCATAATTTCACATATGGTTCAAAGATACAATTACACTCCTTCGTACAGGGAAACATGGATAGCTAGGACTAAAGCGGTTGAAACAGTGCTTGGAAATTGGGAGGATTCTTACAAAGAACTTCCAAAAT